CTTTGTATGATATGTGAAGGAGTAAACAACACATCCTTATTCACTTTCTCCACACCATTCATGATTTTATAAACTTCTATCATCCCCCTCTTAGTTGTCTCTTTTACAAGCTGAAAGTCCTAGTTTTTTTTAATCACTCCTTATATAGACGCTGCTCCATACTCTTAAATCATTTTTGTTGCCCTTCTCTATACCATTTCCAATTCTATCAAAACAATTGGTAACAACACAATACATAATAAAGCTCAGGTATTCTCCCCATTCTTCAGTTTACAGTAACAAAGCTAAAAGACACTTAAGAAATGCTGTCCCCATATCTTATTATTTGTGATCTAGCCAGTTTTGCAGCTCCTCTTTTGAAAAGCTCCACTAATGGCGCTTTGCATCAATGAGGAGGAAAATCATCTCAGTTTCATTGTATTTTGTGCCAAATCTAAGCACTTTTCAAACTATTTAGTTATGCTACCCAGAGCTCCACATAAATTTTGCAATTTCCTTTAACAAATCCTCACTGCACACCGACTTGAATTTTCCTAAAAAAGGAGATTCAACAACATTTTTCTGTAGTTTTGCTAGAAATTAAATGCATCGGGAAATGTTTTAAATTCTCCACAGCCAGCAGCTGGCAGGGCAGAATGATACTATGGAAAGAGGCAAACTTGGATTTCTGAGTCCAGAGGATTATTAACATTAGTATTTACTATTTGTTTAGAAGTGGTAGTTCTCAAGGAAAAATGGTAAAAGAACTGCGCCCCACCTCCATTCTGCTAAATGATAAGAACGCATGTGACTAAGCAACTTACACACTATTTCTATGGTGGTGAGAGCAGGAAGCAGAGTGTTTGTGTGTGTGATCGAGATCTAGGGTTTGAATCTGGTCACGCTTACTTCACTGTGAATCAAAAATAATTCCCTTAACTAACAAGTTATACAGGTGCATGACCGAGAGACCAGACTAGCTGTACTCCAGAATAAGGATGTTAAGTATCAGGAGGTATTTGCACTGACTATTCCATTAGTCACTAGGGCAGCGCTGCCCCTTTGAAACTCTGCCACAGCATTTCAAAGGGGCAGTGCCGCACTGATGATCCCAGCGCCCGGCTCCATGTGGCGCTGCCCCTTTGAAGTGCCCCCCTCGGACAGAGGCAGCGGGGGTGAACTAGTTCTTAGCATCCCTACTCCAGAGCCTGGGGAGCAGGAGGCTAGCGCAGGCCATTAGTCACTAGGGCAGCGCTGCCCCTTTGAAACTCTGCCACAGCATTTCAAAGGGGCAGTGCCGCACTGATGATCCCAGCGCCCGGCTCCATGTGGCGCTGCCCCTTTGAAGTGCCCCCCTCGGACAGAGGCAGCGGGGGTGAACTAGTTCTTAGCATCCCTACTCCAGAGCCTGGGGAGCAGGAGGCTAGCGCAGGGATGGGGAACCG